AAGCGCCATAGATGCCAGTGAGAACAGCCCGAACTTTATCATGTATGTCATCGTCGATGATGCACCAGGAGAAGGAATATCGGATCTCGCTTGTCTGAGAGCAAAATATGGAATTCAGAAGGATAAGAACCCGGCCTTACCTCGCCCTAGGGGCCTGTATACTCCCTCTGAGGGCCGAAGTTGTGGAGGCGGCCGGCTGTGGATTGCCCGAGCCGACGACAAAGGCGATGCTATTGACGGCCAGCACCACCAGCCCGATGCATAGGATGATGCCTGCGAGGCTGCTGCGACTCCGCTTGCTGTAGGCTTGGAAGACGCCGTCCATGAGCGGGAACAAGCCTGAGGAACATCTCTTCCCAAAGTCATTCTAGTCACGCAACCCTGAGAGATGAGGAGTAAAAATTGTGGTATTGGTTTTGATATTTTCGTGGATATCGGAGGCTAACAACATACAGTAAGGCGAGCCGCCTGGCCTTGCAATAGGGTACACAGAGGAGTGGTAGGAGCATGTATGTAGCCAAGCATAGTAACGTACGAATAGCCATAGATAAAGCAGGACTCTCCCAGAGGGTACAGGGAGGAACGAGGACCAGTCCCCAAGCACAGAAACACTACGACCATTTGAGTGGTAGAATTGAAGGCCTTTCCCCTAGGAGCCGACACTACTGCTTGTGGCTTATGAGGCTGAAGAACTCCGCACGAGTCTTGGGGTTGGATCTATAGAGGAGATAATGGCACGATAACCGATCGGAAGTTTGAGGACCTGAATGCTCCTAGTACACAGCTTGTCGTGGTAGAGGCAGAAGTCTTCTGTATTCCTCTCATACTCATACACATATGGGATGCTCTGATGACCACTGCTACACCCATAGGGTTGATAGCCTCCTCCACGGCTCGGGCTATCTGCTGTGTCATCCTTTCTTGGACCTATGGCGAAGCCAGTACAAGGGTGACGGACACGGAGAGTGTCACCTGTAGTCGCCTGGAAAACATCTCCGTTATTCGAGCTAATTTACTAAGTCCGAGGACTTTGCCACGAGGAATGTATCCGATGTCTACCGTTCCTGAACAGGAAAAGTGCCTTGGGCAGGGATCGAACCCGGAGCTGGTAGCAGAGTCATCCCACCATAGAAAGGCAGAAGATGGTGCTCGCAGAGGGAAAACATGTCAATGTCTCGGACCATGACCATCTCATCGTTGTCTGAGGGCTCGACGTCGAAAACAGCGTCATTAACGATTTCCTCAAGAGATTCGGAGTACCTTGAGCC